GTAGTACTGTTAGGCGCAGATGAATCATGCATTACACAATTCAAAGATGATTTATACAGGCTAATCTAAACGTTAGAAGATCGACATGAATTTTTTTATTATATTATATAGATATAGATATAGATATAGATTATATAGATATAGATATAGATTATGTAACATTTGTATTTAGTTATAAAAGAATTTTATACTAGTAAATCTCTTAAATCCGAAAATTTTCCTGAACAAAGAGATGTAACAGAAGAAGGTATGGTTATATAAAGTTTTACTATTTAATTTTAGAATTTATCATAATTATTAATTTATTTATATATTACATTTGTATTTTAATCATAATAAGAATTATATACTAGTAAATCTCTTAAATTTGAAAATTTTTTTGAACAAGAAGGTACAGTTGTATAAATTTTTTACTATTTAATTTTAAAATATATAATTAATATTTATTTATATATTACATTTGTATTTAATCATAATAGAATTATGTAGTAAATCTTTCAAATTTGTAAATTTTCCTGAACCAAGATATGGAACAGAAGAATGTACAGTTGTATAACGTTTTACTATTTAATTTTAAAATATATAATTATTATTTATTTATATATTACGTACATTTGTATTTAGTTATAAAAGAATTTTATACTAGCAAATCTCTTAAATCTGAAAATTTTCCTGAACAAAGAAATGTAACAAAAGAAGGTATGGTTATATGAAATTTTACTATTTAATTTTGGAATATATTATTAATTTATTTATATATTACATTTGTATTTTAATTATAATAAGAATTATATACTAGTAAACCTCTTAAATTTGAAAATTTTCCTGAGCCAAGAAATGCAACAGAAGAAGGTACAGATGTAAATTTTAAAATATATAATTATTATTTTATTTATATATTATATTTATATTCTTTAATTACAAATTACAACATTAGAACAAGAAGGTATAAAAAATAATTTTTGCTTATATTTATAGGTTATAGTTTATATATATGCTGATTTTATTTTTATTTTTATTTTTTTTATTTTATTTTAAAAGTATTTATTAGTCAATCATATGATTTTAATATTTTTGACAATAGTAAGTATTATTGTTAAATTTTCAATTACAGTAACATACTTATATATTATTTTCCTTAATCATAATTCAGGTAAAATAATAAGTTGATAATGATATATATCCAAAATTTTTAATATTTGTTTTTAATTTTCATTTAATAAACAAGTAACAGATTCCATACTTTGGAGTGATGCAATTGAAACTCGCCTCTGTGAACTATATATAAAGGATGATGTTATAGATATATTTTGGGGTCGACCTGTTGAGGAACATTTTGAAAATAGTACTAAGTGGAATATTTATGTAATTACGCGTGGTTTATCCTATCCATATGCCAAGAAAGAAATAATTACAGGTGGACAAGTAATTAATTTTATTGCGGAAGAAGAAAGACTTATTAGTTTTGATGATCCGTTACCAAAGTCATTAAAAATCCCACAGGATTTAAAGGAAAAATTTAATGAAGCTTTGGATAATGAATTGAGGTCATCATTTCGTGATGCACATTATAATTTAGTCCGGATATAAACAGATCAGTGGTAAGTTCACCGAAATACCAGCAATTATATTTTATGTCCGACAGAAAGGTATTTTACGTCGTGGATGTGATGGATTACTTCCAAAAGAGATTCGTGGATTTCCAACAGATGTTATTGAAGCATGTGTTGCAATACCTTGTGCTGGGTTAGGTATAGATACTTGTCGACGTTATCAAGAAAATGTTAAGTTAGGTTCAAGTATAGGTATAAGATCAGAAAAAAACAATACAACTGGAACTCTTAGTGCTGTTGCTTATGAAAATAATCCACCAAATTGAATTGGTGTTATATCATGTGAGCATGTACTCAATTTTAATGAATCAATATTTGAAGAAAAAATTACTATTTATCAACCTTCATATAATGATCTTTTTGAACCAAAGAAAAAGTTAGAGGAATTACTTTATTTATCAAAAGAATCAGAAGATGGAGAAGGTAATGAGTATATAGATGAAATTAATGAAATGCTGAGAAAATTAAATCTTGCGGAAAGCCGAAATTCAACTCTTGCTACTTATGTAAAAGGCATGCGAGAAAATTTTTATTCTAAAATAGATAAAAAATACTATGGCGTTGATGCTGGGTTTTGTGTCTTTGATAATGAAAATCGTAAATTATCTTCAAAAAACTTTCCAATTCCTTCAAATTACTTTAAAAATGCTGGACTTTCTACTTGCCTAGAGGGTACTTATACTTACTGTGAGTTGAAGAATTTTGATTATAATAATAAAGTTTTTAAAGTAGGAAGAACTACAGGACTTACCCTTGGACAATTACTTCCTACTGATCAAGCTATTGCGTGTAGCTTAACAAATGAAAGTATTAAGAATGCAAAAAATTTAGAAATGGAAAAACATATTCAATGTTATAACAATGCAGATCAAAAAATTTTTATTGGATATATGAAATCACGATTAGATTCAGAAATTTGTCAGAAACGTAAAAAATGCTATCCTGTTAAATGGTTTGATCGTCAGCTGGCATTTCAGTTTGAACCTGGAGAGTTTGAATGTGGTGATTCAGGAGCCAGTGTTTTGGATAAACAAGGAAAAGCTCTAGGTATCCTTCATGCAAAATTGAGAATACCAAATCAAACATTTGGTATTGCTTCTCCTTACTTTGCCATTCTTGAAGCACTTGACGTAAGCATTCACTTGTCTTCCAATCCTGTTAAACCCACAATTACTTCACCTTCCATTATTTCACCTCCCCCATCATATCTATCTTTAAGTAAGTTATAATTGTATTAATAGTAATAGTAATTGTATTTAGTCGTTTATCTAATTAAATATTTTTTTTATAGGTAATGAAAATGATTGTGAAAGATTAACACCTCCCCCGTCCTACTTATTTTCGAGTAAGCCATAGTTATAATCACCATAATTTTATTTAGTCATTTTTATCCTAATTAAATGTTTCTTTGTAGATGTTCAAAACGATTACAGTAGAGTAAATAAGCGTAATATGGATATTAATGGTAAATTTAAATAAATTTTATTATAAAATGAATTTATGGTAATTAATAACTTTAATTTTTTTACTTCCAGTCGAAACATATAATAATCCAAAAAGAAGCAGGATAGATCAGCAGAAGGAACTTTAAAGTTTTTAAGCCTTTAAATTTAATTAATAATTATTTTTAGATAATAACTAGGCGTAACCTGTTGCGTTGCGCCAGGGACGATAAAGTAAGATAGTAATAATACATACACTTATATTTTATTTGCCATACAGTGTGAATAGGTCTAGTTTTTTACTATTATTATGATGGGATTAGTAGGAAATAAATGTAATAAATTACACAATTTATATGATTATACAAAATAACAATGAATTGTGTGCAAGTGTTATACAGTATATGAAATATTATTATTAAACTCAAATTTTATTTATTACATGAAATAAATGTTGCGGTATTGTGAAATTTATGATTTATTTATAAATTCATTACAAAAACAATTAACAATTTTGTATAAGTAGTTTATTGTTTACATTGTTACAAAAAAAATCCTTTTTTTTTATCTTAAAAAAATTCTATTGTAACATTAGAAAAAATTACATCCTCTATTGAAAAAAAATACATATATATTGTTACCATACCTCAAAGAAATTCATTATAGCAATCTATTGTTAGAAAAAAAAATATCTCACAAATTACTAATATGAAAAAAAATCCCCCAAAAATCAATTATATTAAACAATCTATTGTTACGAAAAAAAAAAAAATATTCCCCAGAAAAATTAATTATAACGATCTATTGTCATGAAAAAAACAATTTCCCATAAAATTTACTATACCGATCTATTGTTACAAAAAATAAATAAGTAAACTATTTTATTTAGCCTAAAAAATAATTAGGAAAAATATTATTATTATTATTAATAATAAGAATTGGGAAAAAAGGCAATTACCGTAGTGCCGCAGCGTCAATCCGATCACGGAAAAAATAATTCGATTTGAAAAAAAAACCAAATTGAAAAAAGAAAGGGGAAAAAAATTTTCAGATTGGGAAAACAAGTCAAAAGCTAACCCGAAAAAGAAAAGTGAATAAAGAATTTTCGGATTGGAAAAAAAACTAACTCGAAAAAAGAAAAAGGTTTTAAAGAATTCGAAAAAAAACTGAAAAAAAAACGAAAAATAAAATTTGGGGGAAAAGAAAAAGGATAAAGAAAGAAATCGGTTTAAAAAAGGGAACTTTTCGAAAGAAAAGGAATCCGTAAAGTAAAATAAGTACCGAAAAAAATTCTGAAAAAAAGGACAATAATCCGGTCCAAAAAGACTGAAAAGACACCGAAAAAAAAAATTCAATTTGGGAAAAAAACCAAACCGAAAAAGAAAATTTTTTAAAAAAAGGAAAAAAAAATGGAAAAGAAAAGTAAAAAGGTGGTTCGAAAGAGAAAAGAGGAAAGAACCGAAAGTAAAAGATCGATTCAAGAAAAAAAAGAGAAAATTAAAAAAAAGGGAACTGAAAGAATTCAAATCGGTTCGAAAGGGAAAAAATTTTAAAAATAGGTTTATAAAAAAAAAAAAATAAATAAATTCTGATTAAAATTTCATTAACCGGAATTGGATTATTAGATAAAGAATACGGATCAGCAATTTATACAGTATGGAACGTTACGGTTACAAATTGTATATGATTAATTTGGAAAATTTGTAAATACTATAAAATATTTTAAATGGAAAGAACTTTTCAAAGAAATACCTTTCTTACGAATTTTAAAAGCTAGATGTTCCGGTAAATTTTTAACAAATTTCAAAATTATTCAAAAATTGGTCTTATTTAAAAGTAGTAATATTTTAGAATTAAAAAATTTATTAATTAATTGTCAATATTTAGATGGATACTAATTTTGGGAGCATGAATTGGAGTTACCTAATTTGGAAGATTTTAGATAACTGGAAAGGTAGACATCCTATGTTATTACAATTCTTTCAAACATATACATTTCTTTTCTTTTTTTTTGTAGTAAGATTTTTATTTCTTTCCCCTAATTCTTGATTTATAAAAGAGATAAAGTATAACGATTTATTTAAAATTATTGAGATTTTTATAAATAAAGATTTGTGAGACGGTTTAAGAATGTATTCGTCTAATTTTTTGTAAAATTAGCAGTGGAGTTTTGGTTAGGATGCAACTTTGGTCCTAGAATTTTTTAAATAGTAACTATAATTAGTAATTCTAACAATCTATAAATTTTATTTGTAAATGAAATAAGATTATTTACTGTGTTATCTGCGTATATTTGTATTTTCTTGCTAACAAATATTTTAATGAAAAAAAAAAATAATAGATGAACTTTGTTGGAATCCAAGCCTGATTTTTTAATTGTTATGATATTTATCATCCCGTATTGCAATATCTAGAATTTATATTTCGTAAGGATTCCTTGTGTGGCACTTTGACGTTTCGCGATTGCTTCTAAAATAACTAGATTAAAATAAAGTAATCTTGAACACATGTTTATTAATTCTCAAAGTTATTGTGAATTCATTTAAACTTAAACTATTTTTTATTGCATTATCAATAATGCAATATGCCAATATTGTTTAAGATTGAAATTTATTTAATTACTACAGTAGATTCAATAAACTTTTTTTGATACTAATTAAGAAGCGAAAAGCGGGATATTACTTTTAAGATAAGAAATTCTATTTATCAATAAAAAAATTTACACTTATTTATAAAAAGAATTTTCCAATATTTTTATAAGAAAGTTTTTTGTTTTTTTACAGTGACTGATTGTCATGTTCGTTATTATAAATAAGTAGGGGATTTTAAGTTTGTATGACTCGAATATTTATTTAATATCTTACAACATTGAATAAATCTTATTGATGACGAACTTCAGATAAAAATTACAGCGGATTATACTTACAACAGATTACCGAACCACTTTCACTCCAATATTCGATCGATTACACGCGAATTGCAAAAAGATTTAATGTAAGATATTAGATGTTTCCTGCAATTAAAGATGATGATTCGGTCTCTTTCTGTTCGTACCAAGTAACATATTCCTTCATATTTTTTCGATAGTTTGGAAGCTTTTAGAAAATTCCTAAGCTTTTTACGGTCGTTCTGTATGGTACTTCCTAAATAATTTTAAAGTGTAATAATCTAATAGGGGATGATAAAGTACGATTGTGTTTTAAGATCTGCTTCCAATCATTTTATTTTATTTACATATGCAAAAATATACTAATTAAATTCACATTGCTAAAATTTTCTTTATTTTTTACGTTTAACATATCACACTATAGCGATTTTGTGATTTAGTAACCTGATTATTTTTATTTGAAAATGCTACGTTAACTACAGTGCCTGGAAATAAGTCAGTAAGCACGTGACTGTAGATCATTTATTTGTTTAACTTTAAAACCAGTTTTGTCGATCATTTTATTATAAATTTGTCTCCAATTTTTTCCCATGCGTTGTTTAGAACCTTCTTTAACTACTATGTCTTGCAAACGAAGAGAACTTACAATTTTTGAACGTGGAGAAGTCATTGGAGCTTGGAAATGTGGAGTAAGTGAACGAAAGATAGCTGAAGCATTAAATTGTCCCAGTTGTACCATTCATAAGGTTATTTCTACTTACAAGATACGTGGTGATGAAACACTCCCTCCTAGGACTGGAAGACCGCCTAAAATGACAGAAAGGGATGGCCGACTTAATAAGAATTCTTAAAAAGACAGGAAAATGACCCTTCAGGAGTTACATGAGAATTTCGTTGATTCTACTTCTACACATGTATGCAAAAAAACTTTACTTAATTATCTTCATGAACAAGGTTTTTATAGTCGAGTAGGAGTAAGAAAACCTCTTGTTACTGAAACAAATAGAATTAAAAGACTCAACTGGGCAAAAGAACGAAAATTATGGATAAATGAGTGGGACAGTGTTATTTGGAGCGATGAATCCAAATTTGAATTATTCAGAGGAAATGGTAGGAGATTGGCTTGGAGAAGGCCACATGAAAAATATGATATTGAGTGTTTAATACCTACAGTAAAGTCAGGTCAACAAGGAGTGATGGTTTGGGGATGTTTTTCAAAAAACAATCTTGGTCCATTAGTTAAATTAGAAGGTAAAATAACAGCCACAGTATATATGAATGTACTGGAAAATTATTTATTACCATTTATTAATAATCTAGACGATCAGGAAAATTTTATTTTTCAGGATGATAATGCCCCTATACATACTGCAAGGGTTGTTAAGAGTTGGGAAGAAGAAAATGAAGTAAACAGCCTTCCTTGGCCCGCACAGAGCCCAGATTTGAATCCTATAGAGCATTTATGGGATGAATTGGAAAGGCAGGTGCGGGCACATAAGCCATTACCAAAAAACAGGGAGAATTTATGGGAAATACTTCAAGAGGAATGGTCAAATATTGAAGCTGATAAATATCAAAATCTTATTAGTAGCATGCCTCGTCGTATCTCTGCTGTTATAAATAGTAAAGGTTACCCAACAAAGTATTAATAAAAAGTTAAAGGCTTTGTCTTTCAAATAAAAAAAAAAATATGAATTATTTAATTTTAAAAATTCACATTAAAATTGATCGACATCACGTGCTTACTGACTTTTTTCCAGGCACTGTACATTCATCATCATTATAAAACTATTTTTTTATGACTATTTGAGTATTTAAAGATTTTTATAGTTAATTCATTAAGCTTTTTTTATATTTATAAATCCATAGGTTAAACTGCTAAAAGATTTTTCTATTTTAAAAGACTAATCTCGCTATGGTTATAGGTAATTTAATTGTATTAATATTTTATATTATTCATGCTAGAAATATTATATTAGAAAAGAAGCGTAAGAGTTATATTTGGCAATGTACTTTATTCTGAAAAATTATACAACACGTCAATATTTAAGAAAAAAAATATTTTTCTGCTTTCTGTTTATTTAATTGAATTAATAACAGGTCGTTAATTGGCGTAGCGAGCTAACGAAATGTTATATTAGAATTTATTAGTAACTATGTATTATTATATCTATGCCTCATTGTACATTATAAAAATAAAGGTAAAAATAAACTGTGATTTGCTGAAACATGCCAATCACACGAGAAATAAATTATGTTATTTATTTAAGTATATGGGCTCAGCCTGCTTAACGAAGGAAGACCTAACAAGGTGTGGAACTAACTAACTTTGTTTAGGAAAAAGAGGAAAAAGAAACCGAAAAAATATATCGCAATGGATAAGATTAAGAGAGACGAATACATCTTTCTGAACAACTTTTT